CACAAATATCATCGTGCTTGACCGCTGAAAGCGATGCGCAGCGGGCTCAACTCGACGTACGCCAGAACTGAAACGTTCAAGCGTTCAGTTTTGTGTTATCTCACCTGGACAGATGAGCTTCGCAGCTGTTTATTGTAAAGATCACATTGTGCTGCTTGTGTAAGCAGAACGCACCTGCTTTATGACTTCCATTGTGTTCTCATTTCTTGTGCTCTTCTGTAAGTATCTTTACTAATTTTCAATCGAATGCTGCATCAAAAATAGAACAATTTTTCTCTGATCACGTGTCCATACCTTTATGATTATTACACGTAGAGCAATTGGTTTTAATATAAAAAAATTTGTCCATTCTTCGTTTACATATGTTCACATGCATTGACTGGAAGTAACGTAATTGCTACACAAGGCAAACTTTTGACTGAACACTTCAACTGGCTTGAAACGGTATTACGTGTAATACCTATCATAAAAAGTACAACTGATTTTCTTAGTTTCATAATCGCAATGTACTGTGCGTACGTATTCAGTATCCACTAATAAAGCAGCAGGGAGATGCTGCTTTCAATACCAGCGAGTATTACGTAGCACCTATAGAAAGCAATAGACGACGTTCTAACGCTAGGGGATTCGTGAGGGTACGAATTAAGTACGGCAGCGCCTGATTTTTTGTACACCTGTGTGGAAATAATATTGGATGCTTTTTTGTATCGGTAAGAATTTATACATTTAAAATTTACGCGAGTTTCAATTCGATTTATGAATTTTCATGTTTCATCTTAGGAGCAGTTTTCGATCGCACTCGAGGGATTGGTGTAAAATAACCAACATCAGATGAAGAGTCGTTGCCCGTCGCCTGATCTCCACTGCCACTTCTGTATTCAATAGCAACAGTCCTGAGTGGACACTTAATCATGATCTTACTGAAGCAAGAACCTGATTTTAGTTCGTTCATTCTTTTATCTTGCTTTTCTGTCCCTATCTGCTTAGAGAGCATATTCATCTAACCCTTAGCTTCTACTGTTCTTTCCTGTTACAACCACTTAATGATTTACAGTAATTGATCCATGTGACTGTTGGATCAACCCGCTCAGTAACCAACTTATTTGAACTTGTTTTCACTGGTACATCATTTATAGGACGTCTTAGGCCATAACTGGAATGAAAGCATAGAGAGACCATGCAGCCGATTTTCCACATCTCCTTATCCATTCTAAACCTATCTAAAGTAATTACCGCATATCTCCTCCAACGCTAGATTTCACGGCGGAGTCTTGCAATTTTGCCTACCAGATTCACTTGGTCCTTCTTATAAACGATGCTCAAATACCACAGAGCCATGATCTGCTTAAATGCACCCCACTCCTCGAGACAACCGAGAGCAAGGGAACGGTGTAATACGCCGAAATATGGCCACACAGCAGCTATGTGCCATCTGATATACTGCGGAGTACGATAATACTGTTTATGCGCAACATACAAGGAGTACCACTTCATGAAACATCGTTCGCAGTGAGCACGAGGTGGCTCATACGAACAACAGGATGCAGGTGTATGGTCAAATATCACGCAGGCATGACCTGATTAAATCCTCCACCTTCCGCGGACAAATAGGTGCAAGGCTGCGGCGCAATATATGATGAAATTCGGCCTTGGAGGACTTATGAGTTATTAATCGTATGCCAGGATCGGAGCATACTTTCACATCTTTGACGGTTTAACTTAATGAGACATTCATCCTACAACGGCACCGACGAACGCCTTACTTCACGTACTATTTGGGACAAATCATACACTCAGCTAAACTCAATTTAGTGGAGCTGTACTTGTATATGTGCCCTAGGCGTAGAAGCTCATATTTTAAACCGTGGTGCTAACGGACATAAAAGTGTCAATGGCTTCCATAGGCCATGAGGAACGAATAACCCATAGCCATAACATAGTGAAATCGAATTCTGTCGTTGTGTTTATCAAGAGTAAACCATCATACGAAGCTACCAGAACTAAGGTTTATCTGTTGTTCTCCATCTCAATTCGGGAAGAATGTTTATAACAGGTCATAGACGATGATCAAAGTGGTCCAGGAAACTAGTCAGGATTGCTTACCATGCATAAAAATAAACACCGATCTTATGAGCTTACTAGCGAAAAACGCGTTTATCATAACTTAAAAATTATTAATTTCAACGTTATAATTAAAACATATCAAGACTAATTCAGCTTTAAAGCGGAGAAAAACGGCGCTTCTGTATTTTACAATCCTCTGGGGATAGTGAAATGTTCCAAGTAGTGTAAAGCGCATCGCTAAGTGCAGTATGGGTTTTGGGGGAAAGTTGCAGTATTAGCTGACGGTTCGACAGTACAACAATCGACTCGTTCGAGCAAATTATCAGACAGAGTCAGAAATGTCTTTCAAGGCATCTGTGTTCGTGCGGCAAGAATCTCAGAACGATGCAAAGTACCATCCGAACAGAAATCGAAGCCAAATTCCATTGAGAATAAGCTGGCATCTCTCATTGGTCGATCAACAGCTTATTCGCTTATACAACGGACTTGGTCTCTGTGGAAAATCACTATTCTCAAACAGCATACACAAAACGAAGCAGTGCTAAAGACTTAATCCTACAATTACAATTATTGAAAACAAACTGACGTCCTTTTAGTAAATGGCACAGTTTCTTATTTTGACTTCGATGCATTACGTCGAACGTATTGAATCACACGTCAAAAGTAGAAAGACAAAATCATTAAGAGGCAGACGAACGACTCATTAAAAAGTAAAAGAGTACTTACAAACTCTTGAACGAGGTTGTTCTTCTTCACGAACGAATCCAACGGCTTGTAGTGAAATGAAGTGTGGGCACTCTCTTCGCCCGTGCTGGATGGTTTCTTTTTGTCTACCGATTGTGGGTCACGTACCATGACAGGAGGCTCAGGCGGCGACTGCTCTTTGCGCTGCTGCTGGTTGACAACATTTGCGACATCCACATTGTTCCTCCATTTGATTTTGTTCCCTAGAAATTATTTATAACACAAATTGGGCAACGGTAGGGATGGACAAGCGCTAGAAGCTTACTGTTGCCAAAATCTGATCTGTATTGGCTTTCGTAAAAAGCAATCAACCGCTCATTGCTGTGTGGATCGTGGATCGAAGTCAGGTAGCTACTTGACACGTCCGGGGTGTTTTCTTGTCGGTATATTTGCCAGAATTCCACTACAATTAATGATAAGCAACAAAGGCGAGAAATGGACGCAATAAAAACAGGTATTACTTATACTCAAATTTCATGAACATACACACATGATAGACCGATTATAGAGTATAATAGGGTACAGGATAGCGTAAACCGAGCTGGAAAATAATAAGAATTTGATTATTGGATCCATTGCGAATTCTTAACATCTGTCAAGCAGGAGAGGAGTTACCTCCTCGTAAAGTTGGGTGTATAGATCAAAAACTTGGCAGGGCAGGAAAACATACGAAGAAGTGATAGACACAGGACCATCTGCGTATCACATTCACTTGGCCATGATCCTGTGTACAAATAAGTTTTGATGTACATGTTCTACTTCTAATCAGAGGTGGAACCTTGGACGGCCTATCGTTCGCTTCACTATCACGTCTGATTTTCTTTGGCCTTCCATTGTTTACTCTTGTTTAGAACTGTCACTGTCTGACAACGCTGCACACGTGCTTGTCGCCATTTCGCCGCTTATATGACTTTTTGGCCTCTCGTATGGCTACCAATGAATGATGGCACTTTACTTCTGATGAACATATTCCAAATACCGTACTTCTTGTGCGTCTTACGTGTTCTTCAGAGCATATTCAATCATCGCCCCTTCCACATCACTTCGCACCATCCGTCCATCGAATTTCGTCATGCGTTTGGCTAACATGAAAAATCCAGATGCTACAGACGAAAGCTTATGTGCAATGGCTGTTTTCCATCTCACGTTTGTCAACTGCACTTTGTAACAATATAAAATCTACCCGTCCGTTTGCCGTCTGAAGAAACGTAAGTGTCTACGGAGGGCAGATATTTCTATCAAAAGTCTACAGTCTATAACAAACACTGATTCGTGGTCACGTATAAAGTCGATTAAGTCAAAACGCAGGCGTAAAAGCGCCCGGGAAATTCAATGTACAACTGTCAAAAGAGTTTACGTCGCATTTTCAGTTTCAAGAGCAGGCAATACCTGGTTGACTGACTGCTAGGTAACGTCATTTTCTGAAGTCTTTTGACCTAGATCTTCAGAATCTTCCGCTTATTCTCAGTTGACGTAGCAGAATTAGTATAAAGTCTGAAACGTAGCGATTATGAAATATTACTGTTCATTTGGGTATGTAGAATATATTGCTTTATTTAGTTCCTACACCCTGTGATCAATTTTAGTCAAAGCAAATTAGAGCGCTAAAGCATATCAGAACTTCTTATGCGCTGCTACGTAACCATGCCAGAACATCTGCAGTTCTCAACACTGGCCGATTAGCGACTTGTTACCGGTTTCTCAGGTAGTTCCAGAGAAATGGATGAAATTCCTTACTCAGATAAATTAGCAACTAATAACAAAATTTTCGCCGCACTGGAATTCAAACATTGACCTTTATTTTGGAAATGCTTACTCTGCATATAAATTATATAAAACGAAACTGTTACGCCTCAGATGGAACTGGGTTCATCTTCAGGGCGGGCATTATACAACAGAAAGTGCAAACTAACGCATAACTCGTCCAAGAACAAATTTTATGGCATACTGCACAGCGTCATTGCATCCTGTTTCCCGTGGAGGCGTGGGCCGGGAGGGGGCGGTATTTAGGCAGTCGATGGCTCTAGTGTACTTGGAC